GTGGTGGAGAAGGAAGGGAAGGCTCTGCTGGCGGCGGCGGTGGAGAAGGAAGGGAAGGCTGTGTTGGTGGCGGTGGTGGAGAAGGAAGGGAAGGCTGTGTTGGTGGCGGTGGTGGAGAAGGAGGAGACGGCTGTGCTGGCGGTGATGGTGGAGAAGGAAGAGACGGCTGTGTTGGTGGCGGTGGTGGAGAAGGAAGAGAAGGCTCTGCTGGCGGCGGTGGTGGAGAAGGAAGAGAAGGCGCTGTTGGCGGCGGTGGTGGAGAAGGAAGAGGAGGCGGCAGGGGCGACGGCGGTGGGAATAGGGGGTGGGGTGATGGCGGAGCCGGCTGTGGCGGCGGCGGTGACGGAGGCGGAGGCCTGGGCGAGGGTGGCGAGGGAGAGGGCCCACGCTGCGGGGTCGAGGTCGGCCGCCTTGGGACGGGGGGCGGGCGCAGTCGCGGCTGTGGGAATCGCGATATCGGGGGAGGCGAAGGCAGAGTGGCAGATGGCGGCGGAGACGGAAGCACCACCAGGGGTGATGGCCGGGGAGAGGGCTGGCGAGGTGATGGTGGTAGCGGTGGGGCTGGAACGGGTGGCGGTGGCAAGGGCGAGGGTAGAGGTGGTTGAGGTGATGGCGGTCGCGGTGGCAAGGGCGAAGGTAGCGGTGGTGGATGCGGCGGCGATGGTGGCGGCGGCTTCGGTGGTGGCGAGGCCACAGGCCGCGGCGGTGAAGGCGGTGGCGAAGGTCTTCGAGGACCACGGGGCCGCGGGGGAGACCGTTGAGGCGGGATTCGCGGGGGTGAGGGTGAGGACGGGGAAAGAGAGGCTGGCGGCAGCAGGGCGAAGGGAGATGGTGGCTGTCTTGGCGGGGGGCCCGGTGGCGGTGATGGTGGTGAAAACAAGGGATGTGGTAATGGTAATGGCGGCGGCAGCGGTGACAGGCTCGGCGGTCGTGGCGAGGGGTGAGGTGGTGGAGGCAGAGGCGGCGAGGGTTGCAATCGCGGAGGCGATGGTTGTGGCGGTCGCGGCGGCGGTGGGGTCGGCGGTGAGGCCGAAGTAGGAGGTGGTGGCAATGGCTGTGGCGGCGGCGGATGTGGTGGTGGTTGTGGTGAGGGATGCGGCGGTCCCGGCGGTGGTGACGGCGACGGGCGCGGCGGTGACGGCGGACGACGTGGTGGCGATGCGGGTCTACGTGGCGCTGGCGGGGAGCGAAGAGGTGGCGGCGACGGTAAGGTCCGCGGCGGAGGCGGAGACAGCGGTGGTGGCGGTGACGGTGGTGGCGGCAGCGGCAGCGGCGGTGGTGGCAGTAGCGGCGGTGGCAGCGGTGGCGGCGGTGGCGGCAGCGGCACTGGTGGCGCGGGTGTCCCGACCCAAATGCACCGCACCCCAACATCATAGCTGCGTGGGAGATAGGAAGAGGTTAGAGGCGGTGATTTCTTGCACGAGTAACAGACGGAAAGACAGACAGACAGATTTACGGTGGGTTCCAAGCACAGCACATACCTCCAGTCACCCTCTGGTGACGGGCGGCGGTGCAACGGAAATCCTAAAACTCCACCACCCCTGCCCCCTTAAAACAAACCCCACAGCCCAGCGCCGGACGCACTATAATTAATTAATTAATATTATAAATAATAATATTGTTACTACCAGCCACACCCTCATTAATATATAAACGCAGCTCTCCATGATGTTGTGTGATGACATATATGCTCGTCCACTTACGCATGGGGGCAATCCGGGACGGGCCTGCTGGGGCAGCTTGTGAGCCGATCTTCTTGTCCCTTGCAAGTGATGGAGCCCAGGTGTACAGGCTCCAAATGGCTGCCGGACCCGAAACCATTCGGATCGTCGGCATACACAACGACGCCTGTCGTGAAGCCTAGATGCCTGCGAACAGATGTCGTGGAGGGCACCCAGGGGGAGGTAAGGTGGCGGGTATGACCGTTGTTCCAGATCTGAATTCTGAGTAAACTGCCGTACACATGCGTGCCCTGTACTGCATGGAAGGTTGCATACGTGGCGACTGCTGTACAACGCTCGCCAATATTGGATCCACCGTACTCAGACAGACGCACAGACAGACAGACAGACAGGTACAATCAGACAAGCAGGCACAAGGACCATGGCAATCCTTTCCTCCCACTCGGCAACTGCTCCTCACCTGCACGCGACTATGGCATTTGTGGTCCCGAAGCCCTGGCCGCAAACCTGCGAGCAAGGCAACCGGGGGGGAGAGGTAGGGAGGGAGCGCCGATGGAGTGGGTCTGGGGCAAGCCTTTGGGAGGTCTGGGGGACAGGGGGCTTTAAAGGGGCGGCGTCGACTCTCAGGAGAACTCGGTACGGCAACGACTAGCTCGTCCCAAACACCCTTGACCCCAGGGCAGTCTCCCGTACTCGTGCAAAAGTCATACGGGCACCGAAATACACGCAGCACAAACAGCCACGTTTCTTTCCAACACACAGACATGTGTGTATGTGTGTATGTGTGTATGTATGTATGTATGTATGTATGTATGTATGTATGTATGTATGTATGTATGTATGTATGTATGTATGTATGTATGTATGTATGTATGTATGTATGTATGTATGTATGTATGTATGTATGTATGTATGTATGTATGTATGTATGTATGTATGTATGTATGTATGTATGTATGACGTTGATTACACTGTGGGCTGAAAAGCCGGGGGCCCAGGGCCGAAGCACAGCGCGGGGGGCGGGTGCATACGGCTGGTTAGTCTCATGCACTCCGCCCCCGGGTCAGGCCGCACGGGAAACGACGGCCGGCACGCAACAGCGCTTGTTTGGCGCTCCAACTAGACGGGATCTATGCCCGTTGGTCTCCTAACATAAACGAAGTCGCAACTGG